GGCTGGAACCTCACACAGCTCTTCCTATTGACTCTGCAAAGAATTGACAATGGAAGAAGGCAGCTTGGTACATATGGGACTGGGCTTCAACTGCTTGTTGCTGCTCTCATGTAAGAGTCTTGTTCATGACTGAAGGGGGAAAAGGTTTGTCTCACCTTATGCAGTGTCTATGATGTTCAGGTCAATCTTGTCAGCTCTTTGACTTGGAAGGACCCTTGACTATATATATTTATATACCTATACAGTTGTTGCAGCTGTGACTTATAGCAGCATGAGGAGTACTCTCCACAAATTTCCAGACAACACTGAGCTGGAGAGGGAGCAGCCAATGCACTGGAGGGCAGGACTGTGATCTGAAGGATCTGGTCAGGCTGGAGTAATGGTCTGGCAGGAACCTTACAAAGTTCGAGAATGCAAATGCAAATCTTGCACCTTAGGGGGGATTATCCCATGCACCAGTACAGGCTGGGGGGGGACCAGCTAGGAAGCAGCTCTGCACAGAGACCCAGCGGTCAAGGTGGGCAGCAAGCTGCACAAGAGCCATCAATGCGCCCTTGCAACAAAGGCGGCCAACAGCATCCTGGGCTGTCTTAGCAAGAATACAGCCATCTGGTCCAGGAGAGTGATTCTCCACATCTATTCAGCACTTGTGAGACCATTTCTGGGGTGCTCTGTCCAGAATTTTGACTCCTCAATACAGGAAAGATATTGACATACTGGAGTGAGTCCTGAACAGGGCAATGAGGATGGTCAGAGCACTCGATGTATGAGAAGATGTTGAGAGAGATGGATTTGTTCAGTCCAGAGAAGTGAAGGCTCCAAGACAACTTATTACTTCCTGACCAGAGGACACAAAAATGATGGTGCCAGACTCTTTGCAGAGGTGCGTGGTGATGGGACACAAAGTGATAGGGAAAAGTTGGAACAGAGTAAATCCTGATCAGATATTAGGAAAAGGTTTTTTACCAGGAGGGTGTTCAAACACCGTGGCACCAGGGCCTGGAGAGGCTGTGAGATCTCCATCCTTGGAGACATTCAAGCCTTGAGCGGACACAGCCCTGAGCAACCTGATCTGATTAGACGTTGTTTTGAGCAGTGGGTTGGGCTAGATGACCTCTGAAGGTCCCCTTCCAGACTAAATTATTCTTTGAGTCTATGACCTATGGAAGTGGTGGTACAATGTACAAGAGAGAGAGAGTGCCAAAAGAAAAATAGAGAAGTCAGAGAGAAAGGAAAAAAAAAAAAAGTTATAATAGTCAAAACACAAACAGGAGAAAAAACAACAGAGAAAGGGTAAATGGTGATGCTGTGGTGATACCCTAAGAAAAAATACTTCTGTTGAGAAATGGGGTATCATTTTAGAAATTAACTACTACAATGTTTACTTTTAAAACATTCTTAAGTATCTAGAAAAATACTACACATTGGAAATGCTTTAAATTAGAATTATTCTATTTTAAATTATATGTAGAATAATATACTGTATTTTAAAAGATATTGTTGTTCCAAAGTGTAGTACTTAGGAGTCTGGAAATGATGAGATTTAGACTGATTTAATTCATCTGCTTCTACATATGTACTGAATAATGTTAATGGTGGCATACTAACAACACATGAGCATAAGCTGTGTTTCCAGAGGATCCCTGCCTCTCCAAGGAAATGAAGCAGGCAGTCAGTACTTCTTAGAAGCTTTTCTATTTATTTATTGCATTTTACCTCCATACTGACTTTTTATTGAATACAACAGTATTAATTCTGTTGGGATACTTCTGTGGTCTTTGTGACTTTAGCATATGGGGTCTCATAAACAGTAATGAATATCTCTGTCAGATTTGGAGATGGTATATTTTTTTCTGTTTCCTAAGAGGGATTTCTTGTACAGACTGATCAAGAATCATCAAAACTGCCCACTGATGGTAAGAGAAATTTGGGTGCTATACACCCAATATTTAGGAATATTTAACAAGCTTGTAATACCTTACATGTTAAAAACATCCTTGTAATTTATTTTATTTGTCAACATGAGGTCCAAACCTGAATCCAGGTACATCATTCAGACATTTAAAAAATGAGTAATTTGTGCAGTGGAAATGCACATTGTGTGAAATTACACTGACCCGCCACTGGTATCATCAGCAAAGCTCAGAGCTTCATAGTGACACAGAGGAGAGCCTTATCACTTGAACTAATAGTTCCAGTAGCTGTTCCTTCCATGGACTGACCCTCCAGGGAGGCAGGGCAGAGACTTTTCCAGTTGATTTCATATCCATTCACTAAAGGAAAAAAGATGGTCACAGTACTCCTTAAGGCAAAGACAAATTTCCGAGGCAATGGTGCTCGTTACTTTGTTATGAACTCTGCTATTTTGTTTTTTCCTTGCTGTCTTTTCCCATTTTGCCTCTGCTTACTTAATCTTTGCTTGTACACATACGCTGTCTCTGCCTCCTTTCCAGCCTTCCTCGCCCTCTGTGAAGCTTTGCCTGCCTTCCTAACCCTTGAACCCTTGATGTCTGATGGTGCCTGAGGACCAGGTGGTCCTGCCACTTGGGCTGTTTCTCCCGTGCTCCTTGAGCAGAACATCTCTGAGGTGGGGGGACATCTCCGTTCCCACAACGGGCTCCCCCAGGTACTTTCAGGAACAGCGGGTGGCCAGAAGGTGGAGGCTGGAGCATGCCCAAGCATCCATTTGCTGATACACCATTCATTCAGACACAGAAGCTGTAAATGGGTGCGGCACACTAACTACAGATGAAATCCTTGGAGAATTTAAGATGTAAGCACATCCCTCTTGAGCATAGCAAACTGCAGTGCGGTGTGCAGGCTGTGGTTGGGTTTGTGTTTTGGGGGAGCTGTATGTCAACCTTCTGCTTCTCAGTGAGAAACCTGTTGAAGTTGTTTGGGCTTTTTTTTATAGACAGTGAAAATATGTATTTTTCAGACTACATATGACTGAACTTTAGCTGGAACTTTAAAAAAAAAAAAAACAATCAACCTGAGGCAGATATCCTCCAGGCCAAACAGCAAAGGTTTAATAAAATAAAAACAAATTGAGTCTTGTACAGAAAGTGCTGGGTACATTAACTATAAGCACCAGTGCTATTTCTGTATATAATACCCCAAGTTTTCATACATACTAGTAAACTGTTGACATTTTCTCCTCCTTTTTATGAAATACTAGAACAGAACCATGATTCTGCATTTCATACAGTTTTGACATAGTGTGTTCAGCTTGGCACACCTATGCTTTTATCAGTTTTTAAATCCTTTCTCATTTTTTTATTTATATTCACTATGTTCTTCCAATAGTTAACATTTTACAATTGGGAGGCAATAGAAACATGACTCAAACAAACTAATTGGCTAACATATTAATACCTGGTACACACCTACTGAAGTAATAGCAGACATTAAAGAAAAAAACAAAACCAAAAAAAACCCCACAAAACCCCAAACCCAAACATCTAATTTCCTTCCAATTCTAGCAGTAACAGGTCAAGGAAATGCATTTCTTCTTCAGGATTAATGACAGACTGGCATCAGTTGATTCACAAATACCTATGGCTTAGAGCCCTTAGAAATACACCTAACTTCTGCTAACATCACACAGTTTGTGTATGCACTCTGATACACCTACTACGGTGTCAGGGCACCAAGCTTTGGTTGTTGCGTTTTTAACAGAGGCGGCATGTAAATACTTAAGAAAAGGAGAAATTGTTGAAATACATGGAAGTGTTCTCTAACGTAATGCCACTGGGAAACCAGGACTAGACCTCATCCGCTAACTCCTATAAACAGCTGTAAAAGCAAAACTGTTCGTGCTCCGAGGAGCTTGCAATGTAAATAATATTCTTTCTTTCTGTTTCTGCCTTAAAGGACTATGAACAGAGTGAAATAAAACTTGGACGAAAGTTGCGTAAACCATTAGGATTTAATCCTGCAACGGAGATCTTAGAAAGAAAACTGGAGTTTTCCGGAAAAAAAAAAAAGCTAAATAATGTTAATAGGGATACAATAGCTAGCACTTATGGGACAGATTTTTTTCTGTTTCTTCACTAGATGATGGCTTTGCTGGCTTGAATTCTCTCTTCCCATTTTATAGTTCTGCCTCAAATATGAGTAGCAGTATTTGCTTTCAAATCTGTGGGTTGAATCTTTCTCCTTTTCTTTTTTAATAATCCTTAATGGACATTATACTCTATCTTCGTGTCTTTCTGTGTTTCTATCTCATGAGGGAGAGCTGCTTTAGACAGTGAATTATACTAGCACCCATGTTTAATAACTAACCAAAACATTTGCCCTTGACATTCTCAGCACCGTAATGCTAATTAAGCGAAATAAACAGAGATGAAATGAAAACCGGGTGAAGCACTCATCCTTTCTCAAGATTTAATTTGGGATCAGAAACGCCGCTGACGGGAAAGGGAAGCAGGAATTGCAAGTACGTCCGCGCACGAACAATGAAATGCTGAATTATTTTTTAAACCTTCCACTAATAACCTGTGATTTAAAGGTCACTTCAGAAAAGGAATCAAGGTCAGGCATCGCTAATCCTGCATCCGAGGCAGCCTTTTGTTTACCCCCAGTTCCTCGCCGTAGCTGCGCGTTAACGCTTGCACAGCCCCCGCTGCCCTCCGCGGCCCGGCCCGCCCGGGACAGCCTTCGCTTCCACGCCTGACGCTCGGCCACAACCGCAGGGTTACGGCGCGCAGGATTGCGGGCCCCCCGGGCCGGCCC